ATTTACTTTATTAATATTTTTAATATCATGGACATAATTTCTACAATTTAGTTAACCCCTCCACCCCAAAAAATCTTGCAAGAACACTTCGAAGCCACAGAGAAGGCCCCAGACGTCGGGTTTTATAGAAGGCTTTTCGAACAATATCTTTGGGTTTAAGCGTGATACGAAAATGAATCTCCTTCTTCGAAAGTTGAGGTGCCAAAATTCAAATGAATTTTCTCAAACGCATGCGTTTCCTCAAACATATACAAGGCAGATCTACATGGGACCAATCTAACAATAAGATTGTTTACTACAAGATATAAGCATATTAACGTATTTTCCAAAATGCGCTAATTTTAAGCTGCCTTCCAAGCAAAACCTCGAGTTATGAAGAACCTGAACTTTTCGAACCTTAGTGCGAAGTCAAAAATTCGAAAACATGATTCTATGAAAGACTTACTTGAATTATTAAAAATCCAACTATCGCGTAATTTTAATTTTAAGATTTTATATCACGTTCTGACGTTAGTACAAACTACCGTAAAATCTAAAAATTTCATACAATATTTCAGGTGGATTTCTAATAAATCAAGTATTCCGATGGATCATGTTTCATAATATTTTAATTGACGCTAAAATTTTAGAAGTTCCATGGATTTTAAGGACCCGAGCTTTTATCTGGCATTCAGTTAGACTTAGAGCCTTGTGCACAAATTTGTACATTTATGCGAAATTTATGAAACAAAAATATTACAGGTAGGTTTTGTTTAAGGTGAACAAAATAAAATTGGTCTCATTCAAAAATTAATTTGAAGTTTAAAAGATATGTAGTATGAATCATCGGATTTCCTAGGAGATTTGCTAGTCAACATCAAAAAATTAATTTTTACAAAACTTGCAGATATGATTACGACTGTTTTTTAACCTACCTAGTACTCACAAAAGAACTGTTACAAGATTTTCCGGGTAAATTAAGCAGGCTAGACAATTTTTTAGAGAGTTGTAATATTTCTTCAATTGCTGAGTAAAAATCGGAACTGAACGCAAGATGACAGACAGTACTTTAAAACGGCCCCCTGACACTGGAAGTGTTAATGGGTGAAACAAAAGTGGAAGGGAACAGTCAAAGAGCTCATAAAAAATCATGAAGTTAATGAAGACTTGAATTCGTCCGAATTCATGCCGGACCATAAGGAAAATTTCCCCACAAATAAACGGTTTAAGAAAAACTATTTCCCTTGCCCTGAAACTAAACATTGGACATAAGTCTTTAAGATGTGAGGAGATGTACCTGCTAACCGCACTAGTAAAAAAAGACCTACAAGAAGGCAGGCGCTGATCATGCGGCACTCGCTTGAAAAATTAAAATAAATATTTTGAAAAGATCAGCCAACTTTAACCATTGATGCGATATAAAATAAGCAAAAGCACTGTGTCAACACATTGCCAGTTTGTATTGTTCAAAAAATTTCAAAAATAATAATTGGCCCATCCACCATCCTGCCTCTGGGATTTTTTATTTGGATGTCGTCGGAAAAGTGATTTTTCTTCCTCTGAGAGTGAAATTTCGTCAAAAAATATTTTTGAAGTTATCGAGCAAATTGGGTTACGGATGAACCACACTCTATTCAAAAATATCCACTAGACCTTTAAGTACGGCTCAGGTCCTACTTATGAAGCCAAAATATCAGATAAGTGGTTGAAATAAAAAATTCCTGCCTCCATTTTAGAGAGAATAAAATTCATCATCACCGAAACCTCAACTTTCTGGAATACGATATATGTATGATCGAAACTGTAGCTAGATACATGTGCAAAAACACAGGTTTGGACTCCGAAAAAAAATCTGTCGTCTAGAAATACCACCAATATCCCGTGGAACGCTTGTAGCCGTACAGCAATCGCGAAGTGGAAACGAAGACTCTGGGCTCGTGTCGCCTTAAGTATGTCAACGCGTCGGTACAGTCCATCTACTTGTATGCTGCCCCTGTGTGGTTACATGGGAGGAAAAATGTTGATGTAGTTGATCGAATTATAAAAGCATGTGCTCACTATATATATATATATATAACTTTATATTTTGAAAATCTAAATATGATTCAATATCTGACAAAATCAATGGAATTGAGTTGTTAACAGCGAAAAATGCTTGCATTTTGAAATGTGCAAACTTGCATGCAAAATGGTTACGGGTGCTGGGCCAACTTTGTTCAATAATTACATATGTGAAACTAATATTAGCTTATCAACTAGAAATATGACATATAATGAACCAAGCCTCAAATATAACAGTACATTTGGTAAAAAATCATTTTTATATAGGGCCTCAAAAGTATGGTCCAATCTACCTGAGCCTATTGTACAGTCTAGTAGAGTGGTCAGCTTCCAAGTATTTAAACAACGTGTAAAGAAACATTTTGTCAACAATCAATGTGATGATAGACTGAGAGTGATATTTGAATTAATTGATGCATATGAATTTGACATAATACACTGCGACCGGTAAAACAAGGACACCTAACATTTTTTCCAATTTCTTAAAGGCCCTTCGGAATGTATAGCTGTTTCTTTCGCCATTAAGTACTACAGTTCCTAGTAGTCTTGTCACAAAATTTCGTTAACATTGGTTCAGAGGTGTTGAAATTATTTAAGAATATGTCAAAATCAGGTGACCAGTAAAACAAGGACACCATACAATAAATTATTTGTTTTTGACGGACTTAATTAGAATTTGATTCAACTTGTTAAGAAATTAAATTGCCAGTATATTTGGGATATTTTGGTCAATATATGACGTAAATTAACTCTTTTGTTCTGTCGATTTCACATAGTGAGGGGCAAATTCCCGTACTTGTTGCAGAGGGGCAGGGTAGAAGCTCAATGTGCTTTACGGCGGAGTATTTCCAAAACGAACAATCACCTAAGTGTCCGCCGACCCACCGTAACAAGTTTTAAGGTCAAGGGGGACACTTTCGGTAGAACAAGGAAGCGAGGACGCACGCCTAAAACGATACAAATGTAAAAATTCAACATTCTCCGTCGCTCTAGCGACCCCTGTGTAACGATTATCCAGATTTAAGCGGAGTTCCAGCTTCCTATTTCAACATCTGACACTACTCAAGTCATGTCTGCTTGCCCCAACCTCAGCAAGAGGAAAATCAAGACGAAACCGGTGCGTCCCCAGAAGCAAAATGATGCTCAATTTCAATGGCCGAAAGAACGAATGACGTGGACTTCTAAGAGGGATCACACCGTTTTTAACGACGAGAAAAGGGTTATGTGAGCCTTTTCTGTAATAATATGTAATAATAATGTAATGTAATAATGTAATAATAATGTAATAATATGTAACCATATTTGCTTTCCTGAAGATGTAATGTCCCACTTGTGGGGTATCTCATTGTAATAAATTATTATTATTATGAGATTAAACTTTTGAAAGGTGTATAATGTTTCGTATATAGAATCTCATTGGCTTTTCAGTGATGTAGTTATTTTTTCAAAATTCGACAAACTGTGATTGCTACATTGAGTTTTTCTTGTAACAGTTCTTTTGCTAGCACTGGGTATTTAAAAGAAAACATCTGAATATTTCAATAAAAAGCGAAAAATAGAGTCGCACGGGCATTTCTCATTATGTAATATAATCTTTACAACGATATCGACATACAATTTATAAAAATTAAAATCTGCGGAAAAATTAGCTCCTGCGAAAAAATTAAATCGACTTGAAGATGGCAAGTAAACCATTTAAAATATATACTGCTTGAACAATTAATTGGATCACCCCGGTGCCGTCGCGATCCAATATCGGGCGCTGGTGCGATGGTCAGAATTTATAAAATACTTCGGGTCAATTTTAAAAATTTGGAACACGGAGGAATCAAAGTCCACCTCTATTCTTTTTCCTCAAATTAATCTTCACTCGTATTTCATAATTATAAAACGCATTTATGTATTACGGTATACAACATAGATTCACCTTTAATTTCGCGAATCATGGAATATGTCATTTGCGCACTAATTAATATTTCTGCAGCTATTCCCATGCAAATTATAATTTGCACTTACAGCTCAAATATTGGATTTAATTAAAAATAGTGTGCATAACCTAAAGGAGAAATAATAATAAATAACCCTTAATAAACGTTTAAAATATATGAGAAGTGCCGCTGAATCTAATAATAGCCGATGGTTAACAAAGGAATTTTCTCACGAGGAATTTCTGCATAGGGGCGCCAGAAAAATTTTGCCTAGGGCGCAAATATGTCCAGCCCGGGCCCTGATCGCTACATATAAATAATTCCATAATACGGTAATTCATATGTATGTATTATATACATACTTGACCTTAAACTGCTATAAATACTTTAGTTTGACTAAGTACGCTTTTCAATCTTTAGATATCAAATTAATTTATGGAACCGACAAGGCTTGATTTATACTTTCCATTCATTCATGATTCACCCTTTTTTAAATCGTATGAAAAAACGTTAATTTTACCTCTCATTTGACGTAAGAAATTGCGAGCTTAACGAGAGAGACAAAAATAAATACATAGGTATGTAAGTATGACTTTGCATAAATTGCAGCAACATAATTTCTTTTACATACGTGATACAATGCAGAGAATAAACATAGCCATTTTTTTTAAGTTTTTTATCCATAATATGAATTTATCATATTTACATAAGTGTGGAAACCTGAAACTCCTTTTACCTGGATTCGGTGCGACACTACAAACACACACATTAATATTTATAGCCTGCAAAACTGCAATAAAAAACGTCTAATGACAATTCAATTCCATCACTAAAATAACACCAATAGGTTGAAAATAGATATTAATTGACGTCAAATAAATATATTGACGTAATTTACTCCCAAGCTATGCATGCGTCCCTAGATACATAAATGGTAAAATCTTAGCAATTATGAGCATGAAATCTGGATATAAAAGAAACACTCTTTGCCATTCAACTAGTCATTCTTAAATATTTAGTTTGCCAGCCAGATTTCAATCGCTATTTACATAAACACCAGAATGAAATCCTATATCGCTGCTGCCTTTCTTGGTTTCCTCGTAATGGCCACATTCGCGGAAGAACGCTATCAATCCCCTTCTGTCGAATTTCTTAGTGATAATACCCCTATGGATGAAATTAATTCGTCCGTAGTGGGTAACTCGGATGGTGCTACAGGTATTTAATTTAGCTGATCCTCATAAATATATTCTAAAATGAGGGTACATATTCATTATTTATTCGTGTCGTATTAGTATCGTAAAATAGTTCACGAAAAAACCAGGGGTCAAGCATTGTAAAAATCGTAATAGAAGCGACGCGAATTTTGATGGCAAAATCTTTACAAAACCTCGCAACTACTTATTTTACAGTACGAGGAAGAATACTAAGGTTACGAAGAAACTATGAATACCCTCAATATATTTGCTGCTAGCATCAGTATCAAATAATTTCCATCTTCTGAGCCTACATTTGGATATTTATACATAATTCTAATTACCCAATTTCAGTTCGCACCAAGCGACAATACGGGTACGGAAGGGGAGGAAATTGGACACCTCGATGCTGCAATTATGGATACAATTTCTCGCCCGGCTGCCAATACAACGGTTTTTGGAATGCAAATAATAATCCTTACTGTCGTGGTTATGGTTATGGTAGAGGTGAATAGATATTTAACAGTTTAATTATAATTTAGAAAATATACACGTCACGCGCTTTGTCTGGCGTAGGTCGAGGCGGATACGGTGTATACAACCGAGGATACAACCGTGGTTACAACCGTGGTGGTTACAACAGTGGAGACGATAATTACCCACAATGTACCTATGCGGGCCAAGCCAATTGTTATGGAAATCAAATATGAGGTGTGAGTATTACCGAGGCCAGGAATGTCACATATTCATAATAAAGTGAATTATTTATGTATACCACTAGAGTAAATAGTGTGTTACTTTAAAACCAATAAAAATACAATCGAATGAAATGGAGACAGTTGAAATATATTCTCTCACAAAATGTGCTCCTTATCTTTGGTTAAATTTCATATTTGTCTCTTAACTTTCACCATTGAAAAATTTTTGCTTCATGGTGAATATACATAGGTATTCCAAACAAGTGCTTCATATGAAAAAAAATTATGTATATATGTATATGTTAGTGAGGCAAAATTATATTTGTATTTGAGGAAATTTAGACTTGTATGTTAGACAAAATACAGATACATGTACGTCGAGGGGATACATACATATATGAGCGATGAGCGACCTGCTTGACACTACTCACAATCTCACACACATACATGCAATGCAAAGTATGTACCTCAAACAGTACTTTGTTTTGGAAATCTATGAAAGTTACATTAGGAAAAGATGCATACATATATGTACCTATGTATCTAGGTCAATTCTCGGAAAGACCGAAATAACTCCGACTCTGGTCAGGTAGGCCGCGTTGTTTCGGGTTGAACCGGTCGTGTATAATCGGTCACGGTCACCTCCACCACAGGTCCAAAAGTTTATGTGCACTGCAAATAAACTGGTGTCAATTCCGCGCGGTGTAGTCACATATAGACACCACGCGGTGTTAATTGCCCGTATTAACACCGCGTGGTGTCTATATGTGACTACACCGCGCGGAATTGACATCAGTTTATTTGCAGTGTGCTAAAGCAAACGCTGTTATGCACAAGAGTGTTTTTATGAAACTCACGTTGCCTCAAATGAGAAGCGACGGAGATCTGAAATATACGTATCAAATTACCTCAAAATTAATAATAAATATTGCATGCACAAAACGAATAATCGTTACATTGTTATAATTATTAAACGCTTCGTTACCAATTTTGTTATTTACGTAAAACACACCAGTAGTAGTAAAAACAACACAAATTCATCCATCCCATTTTCTCACGAACCTAAACAGATTACTTGATTTGTGACCGAATTATGTGACCATTTGTTTAAATCGTGTCATAACTATTAGGTATAGTATGATGACGATATTATCGTCATCGTGAACGAGTGTAAAAATCAAAGGTCGATCGACCACGTATTTAGTTCGCAAGGCAGACAAAAGACATAATCATGTGCTCACAGTATTTGCACACATTTGCTCACAGAATTTGCAGTAAAGTTAATTAATGATTGTGATTGAAGTGTCACTTATTAAGCTAACACACAAGTTTTGACATGTTCAATTTGAGTTAAGTTTATAAATTAGATAAGCTCAACAGTGCCACGTACATATTTGTGTCAAATGATTATTCTTAGTATACGCGTACTGAGCAGCATATTTAAGCTGAGCTGGACTCATTAAACGTTCTAGTTTCACTTTCAGTTCATCACTCGACACTTTACAGAAGAACGTCGCTAAAATCTACCCGTATTTAATTTTGTTTCAAGGCGTTTGCATTTTTTGCAACGATGGAGATTGCCTCATTCCTCCTCGGAAGTGTGGCCCTTGTGATACAACTATTTGCAAAACAGTCCGAAATCGCCGATATTGCAAAAACTACGATAGAATTGGAAAATGATTTGAGCTTACCTCTCCCCAAAACTTACGACTTCATAATTGGTATAATTATCTACGCTTCCATCCCGGGTGAAAAATTTAATGGATTTTATGCAGACAATTGGCTGGGTTCTTTGCAGAAAAATTTTTGCTGAAACAATTTGTGTACAACATATGCAGAATTATGCATAATTGTGCTAAACCTTACTGCAGAATGGTTTTTTGTTAGAAGTTTTATGCAAAATAGTTCATACTTTTTCTGCACAAACAATCGTCCCGGCAAATTATGTCAAATTTGCCACACGATTGTCACCCGTTTAGTTTTTTGATGTTTTAATTTCTAATCGTTTTTTTCTCCAACAGTCGGAGCCGGAACTGCGGGTTGTTTACTGGCCGGGAGATTATCAGAAAAATTCTCCGTCCTACTTTTGGAGGCTGGAGGATCTCCACCGCCAGCCGCGGCTGTCCCATTTTTCTCTGGAACTGTCGGCAGCGATCCAGATATTAATTATTTTTTTAATACGGTGGACATGACGTATGGAGGGGTAAGAATAAATAGTTGCAAACGAAATGTAGCAAATGGGTGAAAACACCTGGCATCTGGCACCTTACACCTATTTGTGGCACCCCCACAACATCCCTCAGAACTTTCCCGTCATTGTGTCACATCACCCAACGTCTCATTTTTGCCCAGTTTCGACACCCCACCGCGTACTTCGAACGTACACGACCATACCTTTCAATAGCCACCACACATGACGAAAGTAATTTTTTCGACATTCGACTCCTCCCACACGGTCATGGGGTGCCGAAATGCACCCCATGACCGTGCCGAAAATGCCGAAATTAGGTCGATTTCTGAACACCCCGCCCAAAAATACGACTAAAATGGTGGAAACAAAGAAATCGACACCTCTGACTGTTGGCATCATGACCGTGGCGACGTGACCTTATGACCTATAACGCCCATCTTCGAACTCATCCCGTCCTCGAAAATTAGAAACATGTTGGCGAAAACCGCATGTCAAAATTCAAATCCGTTCTAAAGTTATCGTGGATACATACAGGCGGACGGACGGACGGACGGACGGACAAGACATTTCCATAAAGGGGTTTTCACCACTAAATACTGCAAATGACCCAGATTTCTAAGTAGTTAACCATCACTTTGCATTTTAAGGTCGCGACTGTTCACACCGGGAAAATGTTGGGAGGGTCTGGATCACACAATGATTTGGTCCACAATCGTGGCAGTCCGAAAGATTACGATAACATTGCCCGTCTCCTAAATGACAGCAGCTGGGAATATGAAAATGTGATGGAATTTTTCAAAAAAACTGAAACATGGCAGGGAACACAGCATGGAGAGGAGGATTTGTCGAGTTAGTGAATTTAGAAATATGTTATAAGCATGATGCATCAAATTAATAACTAAAAATTTGTTTTAAATTAAATTAAATTAAAAATTTATTGAATCATATTATAAATTTATTTAGGATACTACGGAACCGATGGACCAATTGTAGTTCAATCTGTGGAATTTCCCATTCTTCCAATTTGGTTTGCTGCTGGAAGGGAATTGGGTTTTAAAATTGGCGATCCAAATGGATATCAGACTGAAAGTGAGTACTGAAATTTTGGAAAAAGTCATTGCCGTCAAATTTTTCGCATAATTTTAAAACCCACATATTTTGTGCAAATTTCCTCTCAGGTTTCCAACCATCCAACACACCAACACGTAATGGGCAGCGGAGCAGCACCTACGCCGAATTTGTGAAGCCGTACGAAAATACTAGAGAAAATTTAACCGTGGTCCGATACGCGAACGTTTCTGAGGTGATAATTTCATTTTTTTAGCAAATGGTAAAAACTTATAAGTTTTAGACACTTGTTTTTGTCAAAATAAGGTTTTACTGAACGCTAACAATGAAGCCTACGGGGTGGCATACACGCGTCACGGACATCCTCAAATAAGTTATGCATCTAAAGAAGTTATCGTGAGCGCTGGCGTGTTCTCAACACCGTTACTTCTCATGAAATCCGGAATCGGCCCAATAGAAACTTTGGAGGCTGCAGAGGTATAACAAATTGTCATTCAGGCGTCCATAAATTGCAATTTTTTGTAAATTCGCAACGAAATCACCATACATGTTCATATTCATTCATTTAATGATGAATGAATAAATTATTTATTCAATATTGAAAATTTGAATGAATATTGAATGAATACTTTCTTCTGATTTTTGAATAAATGAATATTGAATGAATATCTATTCAATTCATATGAATGAATAATAAATGAATACATTTTTCATCATTCATTTTTGACTCGATGCTTAATACATAGGGAAAGTTGAGAAATTCAGCTAGTAGTGTGAATGTTGAATAACACGAATAATGAAGGAATGGTGAATAATCTATAAACGTTGAATAATTAATGAATATATTTTTTACAAATTATTAATGAGTGAAGAAGGAATGAATATTTTTTTCAAGGCTTTGAATTAATGAATTTTGAATGAATAAATATTTTTTGAACATGGTGTTGCAAATTTTTACAGATTCCTGTCAAGGTTCCACTACCCGCTCTCGGTGAAAACGTGTCCGAACACCCAGCCCTCTGGCTTGGACCGTGGTACCCGGAATCTGATAATATTTCCCTATTTCATCAAGTCATGCATCCAGACGCCACAGAGGCTTTTGTCGCACAATATCTTCGTGGCGAAGGACCTCTCGCATATTTAGGGGAAGGTCCACAAATGTTTAAAGTGACCTCAAGGGCGCTACCAGATTGGCCCAACCTCTCGGTCACAATCCATTTGCAACCGATTCGAAACCCGGGAGATCGGCCGACCGTGTTTTTCTATGTTGTCCTGGGCAGACCACAGAGCAAAGGAAAGGTTACTATGAATTCAACCGCGTACAAGGCAGGCATACGAGATGATGTGCAATTAGCGGAAATTGATTTCAATTTTTTGAGCCACCCGGACGATGCTGAGGATTTATTGGAAGGTAAAACTTAGGGCAGATATTACAATTCCCGGGTGAAAAATTTAAGGCATTTTGTGCATAAATTTGGCGGGGTTTTATGCAGATAATTGGCTGGATTTTACGCATAAAGATTTATGCCGAAACAATTTATGCACAAAATATGCAGAATTATGCATAATTGTGCTAAACGTTCCTGCAGAAAATTTCTGTCATAAGTTTTATGCAGAATGGTTCATGCTTTTTCTGCATAAACCATTGATCCGGATTTTCACTCGGGTTAACATTTCAATTATTTTTTTACAGGAATTCAACTTGTCTTTAACATTACGGAAACGCAAGCATTCCAGACAAATTTCAAACTAACGTATGGTCAAGTGCCAAGTCCGGGTTGTTTGGATTTCCCATCTGATGAATATTGGAGATGTCATATCCATAATGAGATCAAGACTTGGATTCATATGGTTGGATCGGCAAGTTTAGGTCCAGATTCGGGAGATGCGACCACTTCCGTGCTCGATACGAGGTTTAGAGTTCGTGGGGTGAAGGCTCTTCGAGTCGTGGATGCCTCGGTTTATCCAGAAGTGCCGAATGGAAATCTGAACGCGCCTGTAATGTTGGCAGCAGAGAAGGCGGCAGCAATTATCCTGGAGGATTGGGACGCTTCTGGTCCACCACCCGAGGATAATGGTGGAGGTTTCACAGGACCAAATTTGCTAATGAGTATCATTGTAACAGCGTTGGCGATGTTGCATTTGTAAATATTGGATCTACTGTTTAAAACACTTTATTTAATTGGAATATTAAAAAAATCTTGGAACCAAATGCTGCCTGAATATTATACATACTTGTCTAATTTAATTCACAAATATCGTCCATAAGCAAACGCGCAAGTTGTAATATAAATTTAACGCAACAATCATATCCCTGATACGGCGGGACTTTACACTCTGATAGGATTGGGATTGGGTGGCATCGTGAAAATAAAATTTTGAACTGGAACACTACATTTTGATTACAGAATGTAACTCAAATTTTTATAATCTATACCTAATCTAGATAAATAAGACACTCTGGTTGCGACTCACACATTTAGTTGTGCGTTGTCCTAGTTTGATTTAGTCGGTTTAAGAACTTCATAATTAATAAAATATTAATCAAATTTAAAATCTATGTAATAATTTAGAATATTCCGTCCTGTGAAACTTTCCGTGACATTCCTGCATTCTGATTGGCTGTTAGCTGTCTTGTAACTTTTGTCCTTCTATTTCCTTCCGTCACGAATGACGAGACATATTTTTAGTTTTCTTGTTCTCAGTAAACTTCCGCTATTGCAGTTTCCTTTTCGCCTTAAACTCTTGTCTGCACTCTAAGAAACCCGGCAACTAAGTTATTACCAGGCGGAGTATCTATGTGACTCTACCGCGTGACAATTAATTTACTGTTGAGTTCAGACATCTTGTCACCAAACCGGTAATAACCCCGGTCGCGGATTTGAAAACATTACCAGTTGGTAAGTAATTTTCTAGCACTCAATAATAAATTGATTAACATGCAGTAGGGTCACATAGATACTTCGCCTGGGAATAACTTAGGATTTGTTACCGGGTTTCTTAGAGTGTGGTTTTTTCATCATTACAGCACACAGTGGTCCGATGATGCTTAAAATGGAATGGGGAACGAAACTTCTTGTCACACTTTATGCAATGATGTGGGTACCATTCCGGGTGCGACAGTTTATGCTTGTGTAAAGCTTCTTGAGTTGTTGACTTGTGCGCGCAAAGGTCGCAGTCGTGGGTTTTATGGACTTTTAGGTGGTGGGAGATTCTAAGCAGTTGGCTGCGAAATGTGGCACCACAGAAGTAGCAAGAAACGGAATTATCAGTCTGTGAAAGAATTAAAAAAATTAGAATGTACATATTTATGTATGATCGATGACAAATCACGAATATAACACTGAATCGATATATTCGCGACTTGTCAATCTATGGTTCCCACATTTAACGAAATATTAAACAAGATAATTTAATTTCCGTGTTCAAATCATTTCTTGCCAAATAGTGAAGATGTTTGTGGGGGGTGCAGGGAGTGACGGAACCAGGGTAAGGAAAACCCCGTGGTTTTCCTGTTGAAAACTCATACCCAGGGGTTTCGCGGGTATTCGGGGTTTTTGCGGGTAAACTGAGTCTGCGTCTCATGTATTAGGTTTTGAAAAAAATCTGATTTCTCAGTAATTTCTCAACGAAGCCGTTATTAACTTAATTTCCAGGACTAATTAACTTTAGAATTGTAAGTAATGCACGATTATAATACGTTATGAAATTTGAATACCCGACTATCCGTGGGTATACCTCAGATTTGCTACCCCAAAACCCACTAAAACTCACAATACCCATAATACCTGGGGTAGCAGGATGCCCTGGATGGAACTATTTAGTAGGGAATCCCTACTCGTTTACCACATCAAGTGACTTAGGCTTATAGCTTCAATATTTAAAAGAAATTTCTTACAATTTTGTCTGATGTGCATTCCTCAAGATGATGGATCCACTCATCGTCAGTCTTAAACTGTGTCTCGGTGCAGCCGTAAGGACACGAGGTTTTATCCTGGAAATGGACGACCTCCACGTGTTTAAGTATTTGCCCTCTCGTGGTCACAGGTTTTTCACAAACGTCGCAAAACCAGAATTTTTTTCTCTTTGAGTTCGAATCGGACGCTTGTAAATTTTTAGAACCTTCTTTTGGACACTTTTTCTTATGGCATTTTAACGTCCGGGCCAATTTGAATTCTTTAAGGCAAACATCACATTTGAAGCGATGTCCTTGGTGGGTTGAGCTAATGTGCAGTTTTCTATAGAGATTTCTTGAGAAGCGTTTATCACACTGTGTGCACGAGTAGGGTTTCTCGTCAAGTGGAATGAATCTGGAAGATTGTGTGGAAATATTTACATTAGGTTACATTTCGTAAATTATTCGTAAACTAGTAGTTAAGCCCTTCGAAAGTCGTACCATGGTACTAAACAATAATTCGTAAGAGTACGTACAAGATGATGTTTGTACTATGTATTAATGATAAGGAAAGTCAGTTGGGGAACCTATTTACCAGGGGAGGCGAACCACCTTAAGAAACTTAGTCAAACAGTTACGCTTACCCCACCCTTTAAATAATTTTTTTTAATTATTAGTTTTTTAGTAATTTCATGTTTGTAGCATATGAGCGTTTCTAATAGGAGATCTGATGGTAGTAATCTTCGAATCAATTTTTCATCGTAAGGGTCACCCATTTTCTTAATTCAGGTTATAAAAAATTAACCTGGATGAGATTTAACCTCTATCACTTGACATTTAAAAAAATAACTTAACAAAAAAATACTTTTTGGGTTCGTCTATCGGATTCTGGCAGTAGAATTGAATTGAATTATATTGGCCGCCTTTGAGAGGGGCAGTGTGAAACATTTATACAGATTTTTATTTCACCCTGTAAATACGTACCTCAACAGTCCTTTCGGTTCGCCATGCGACTTCCGATGGGCTTGCAAGCCCTTCACGGAACAACACCGGTGTTCGCATTTTTCACAAGTGAAGATCCTCTTGTGCGTCTGGAAGCTGGACCTAGTGACGAATTTTTTGTCACACTTGTCACACTCAAATTCCCTGTAAAAGTTGAGAAATTATTTGAGTTTGCGAATAAATCCATAAATATTTTATGAAGGGGATACCCATAAATTATGTCACGCAAGAGGATGGCCTAAGGCAGAGTTTTTAATTGGCCATATTTCTAATTAATTTGGTAATTGACAATTAGAAGGAAAATGTCTTGTCTAATTAATTGGTAATTAGTAATTAAACCCAGCCCAGGTTGCTAATGAAGCCAATTGATTAGAACGTTGACCTTGACCAATTAGGTAATTTGCAGGGTTGGGCAAAATACATGGGTTTCAAAATACAAAATGAAAATACATTAGTGTGAACCTTCAAAATACAATTACAAAATACAAAATACTCGAATCTCATCAAAATACAAAATACAAAATACTTTTGCCCAAAATCGTCGAAACCTCAAAATACAAAATACGTATTTAAAATACATTTTAAAATACAAAATACAAATTCCAGATTTGACCCTGAAAATTCAAGTCAAGCTTAAATTTTAAAAGTTTTGCTAACTTATTTTATTTCACAGCGGTATTAGGAATTTAGTAATTATGTTTCTGAGCATGTGTGAGGTCATGTCTTATCTAGAAAATAATATGAAGATAAGATGATAAGCCCGCTATAATTTCAATCTAACTAATTTTTATCTTTCTCGCACTGCAAAGTGTCGATAATGTAAAGTCGATAAAGTAAAAATAAGTTTTAATAACCATCCTAACACTTGAGAGAAATTTGAAAATAAACAAATTAATCATCTGTATAAACATAAAATAGTTTATGTAGTTTTCTGGCGCAGCCAAGAGTCCAAAAACTGAAAATATTGTAATCCATGAGATCCTGTTTAATATTGCATGGACCAACTCTTGTTCTTCTCATGAGTTCGTCTCATATTTGCCAAATGTATTTTGTAAAGTATTTTTGTATTTAAAATACATTGACTGACCGAAAAATTAGAAAATACAAAATACAAAATACCCGGCCAGCTTCAAAATACAAAATACAAAATACTTTCATCTGAACCATACCCCTCAGAATACAAAATACAAAATAGTATTTTGTATTTTGTAATTTGTATTTTGTATTTCAAATAGTATTTTGGCCAACCCTGGTAATTTGTGATTTTTAGTGATTCTCTGATTAATTGGTCATTCAAATTAGCTTCGGTAGTACCAGTTAATGTTAATTAGTAATTAATAATTAGTTCAAACATGCTACTTAAATAATTAGGTTGACTAATTAATTAGCAACCCTGGCCTACAGTTCCAATGATATATTTAAGGCGTGATCAAATATCTTAAAGGGTGATTCAGAAAATGGGAATTTTTGCCTGACATATGTAATTTATGCACGCTCCCAAAACCGAAAACATGTACACGGAACCAATTATTTACTCACATTTTCTCGTCAGGCCCCTTCAACGCATTATCAGCGACATTTCTGGCATGTTTTTTACTCCGGAGATGTGCCACGAAATTTTTTCTACCACGGAAAACTGCCGCGCAAGGCTGACACGTTATCATTTCACCTTTTCTCCTAGGATGACCTATTTTTCTGTGTTGGACAAGTTCCGGGAAACTGGGTTGCTTGTCGTTGCACAGGTCACAGACAAAATTGATCTGGCCACCGTCATCCACTCTAAATTAATGGAAAAAATAAGTTTTGTAGAGTATATACAAGTATATTTAAATAAGTAATTCCATGAAATTACTTATTTATCTACATATTCATGAGGACGTCCATAGATTATTTTAGGCAAAAATCGCTATTTTCTAGACTCTCTGCCAGGGTTCGTCACCCCGGGTTTTTGTGGGTTGGGGTTTTTGCGGTTTTTGTAGGTTTTTTGTACGATTTTGAGGCAGATTGCAACAAAACTTTTAATTTACAACTTAGATCAATGCTAATTAAGTTTTCTGTTCCATTATGAAGTTTCGAGAATTTTCTTGTGCGACTTGAAATTCCAAATGTTATCGCATATTTCCAGGTTTACATGTGAAACATGAATTTTCGATGTAACAGTCCAAGTCAATGATAACGGTTAAAATTGCATGCTGAATTCGTATATTAGATTAGTTTTTCTCTAATATATAATTTTAGGATTTCTGGTTCAACCTGCCCCAAAATCTACAAAAAAAAACCCACAAAAACACTAAAAATCCAAAAACCCCGGAAAAAACCCCCGGGGTTGGGTTTTTCTACAAAAACTCCTGGGTTTTCTGAACCCTACTCTCTCCCTATATGGACGTCGTCATAATTATTTCACTTAAAATGTAAATATTTACCTCCGGCATTTTATGGCGAATCGGTGTTTCTCTGTCCTCAAGTGTGATTCAAATAGAGACCTGTGGTCAAATTTTTGAGAGCAAACGACACACTCATAGTCGATCAAATGAGTTGCACGGTGACCAGTGAGGGACGCCACGTCGAGAAACTTTTGACAACACAATGTACACGTCAAGGAAGAGATTTCTTCCTCCAAGGCAGCTAACGGGCTGTATATTTAGTAAGGAATGAAAGCATTGTTAAAATAATCTATGAATCCTCCTTCAATCTAATTGCTGGTAAGGGGGCCGTTCATAAATTGTCATTTTTTGTTATTCAAGACGTGATTGACGCTTTGTTTAATTTCTGTTATTTTTTAATTACAAATTAAGACTAAATTCTGAATTTGTTCTAAATTTTCCTAATCTTAATTTAATTTTGGAAAATTTTTAAACCGCACGGTTATTTTTTTGCTCAATTGCTGATCTAATGTAGTCTACATACTATCCTCGCACTCAGCCCTGGCACCTCATTTGCATATTTTAACGCATTCGCGAGAGCATTAGAGTTTATTCAACATGGAAAGCTCGTATCGCCGAAAATGGGCTATTGAGATTTATGCAAATGAGGTGCCAAGCCTAAGTACGGGGATAGTATCTTCGTGTATCGTAACGCGGGACTGTCGTCACATCTTGTAACGCAATTCTGAGTACCCCTTCCCCCTTGTTGTGTCACATAATTTATGAACGGTCCCTTCCATGGAGCATACATAGCTGCACAAAAATGGTGTATGGTTTTTCGATTGACCAAATTTGTCCACTGGACCAGCGAGCTATGAGATGGAACCGAGGCGGCGGAAGTTGGCGGGTTTTTACAGAATTTTACAGAATTTATGAGAATTCGAATGGAGATATGTCCTCCTGCTTCCGCCGCCGCTGCGCGTATTTTTGTATATTAAAAATAATCTACTTACGGAGCATGAACACTTTTAAGGTGGTAGAGAAGATCTTGAAGAACAGGAAACTGTTCCTGGTCGCATTTGCTGCAAACAAATTTCATAGCGCCGTCCTGGTCAATTCTAAATTTCAGAAAAATTTGATATATTTCCCCGCAGTCGATGTGGTTAGAGCGTTCGCCTTAGGAATTGCTTCTGAGTTTGTATGCAATTTTAGTAGCAGGATAAATAGTAAAAAATTTTGTTATCAATTCTTGATCGGATTTCTTTCTAATATTGTAAATATATCTAATTATTTATGTATGTGCCCCAAATTTTTGCGAGTAACTCGCAAAACGAGTTTTGCAAAAGTATCGAAAAGTGTTTCACATATTCGTGTATAACACCCTGCCACACATAAACGAAGAGTGGTGTAACTAGGTAGCTATGCAAAAATTAATGAATATACAAGAAAAAATATGGATAATTAAAAAAATAGAAGCAAAACCATATGTACCGCAGATCAAAAAAAAATATGGTAAATGGGAGATCCAATAAGCAATTCCAAAGGCTACCACTCTACCTGTTTTTGATTAAGTTAGGAGACCACAAATTATGTCATGTGAGATCTAATGCTCCAATGAGGTATAGAAAATTGTGACATAATTTATTCACGTCCCTTAATCACTTCTTATATAAGTACCTGCACGTCTTAAATCCTGCGAGGTGATTCTTCCTCCGCAAGTGCTTATGGAAACTCGAGTCATCGACAAATTCTTGCACACATATTTCGCACTTTGTTGTCGGCTGAATTTATGTAGTCGCAATGTGTCCAAATCGTCACATTCGGTGCCACAGACGGTGCATTTTAATAGCTCAGTTTCGCCCGTGTAAAAAGTAAAAATCCTGAAGAAGAAAATTTTTTTGTAATTACCTTGAACGCTATTACTAAACACGTTACCATATTGGCTTACCTTCTTCTGGCAATTTTTGCGTGACGAAATTTGTTGACGTCCCCTAACCTAAAGAAGGAAGGAGTTACGAGTTAATTCACAAAACTAGGTACATAAATACCGTAAAACCTATGTTTATAGCCGGGGCTAAAATCCAAAACTGAGGGTCACGGACCCGGCTATAATTAGAGACCCGGCTAAATTTTGTTGCTCCAAAAATTTTAGATGTTACAAAATCAAATATACATAATTCATGTTGACTCAATTTGAGTTTTCTAATTTAGCAAGATAAGCCATAAGTACAACATTCACTTTTAATCTACATCTTGAAACGAAGTTTAGCCGGTTTTTTAAATTTTCTGTCAGGATTATATCCATTATTAACCTGAAATTAATAGGAAAAAATTAGTAATTCAACTTATTTGTTGATTGGCATAATGTGCAACATTTTTCTTTAATGGACTATGAACAGGGACACAGCGGACAAGACAGGTCATAATTAGAGACCCAGCCATAATTGGGGACCCGGCTAAAATTTTGAAATCTTGGTCTCCAGACTCTGGAGTCCAGAGTCTAGACCCGGCTATATTTGGAGACCGGCTATAATTAGAAGAGGGCTATAAATAGAGGTTTTACGGTACACTCTTAAAAATTGGGTTATGATTATCACCAGAAAATAAAAATATACCCATGAATATACCGTTTGGTTATAAATTTGGCATTGGCTGGTTATACATTCGCTACCAGTGGTAATACATTTCAACAACTCGGGTGACAAATTTATAACCATGTCCGTACAGTCATATATAGCAAATATGCCTTATACTTTTATGTACTTCTGGTGAAAATCATAACCCAATTTCTAAGAGTAGCTTTTGCAAGCTGCAAATTGCAACATTACCCAAGTCCATAGTTATCGCTGATGTCGCTCGTATCGCTGCTGGTATCGCTGGCAATCGAACTATTTTCATACTCGGAATCTTCCTCTCCTCCAGAATCGTAATTTTTGTCGTAACTTTTACTTGCCCAAGATTGGATTCTCTCCAGTGCAAGGGTTCGACTCTTTCGTAGTCGTGAATTGAAATTGTTATTGTCTTGTTTGACAAACTAATATCGTCAGGAGTTTGACGTCTGAAATAAGTAAAAATTTTGAAAAAAACGGTGTAAAAGGATTAATTATTTGTATTCATAAAAGTAGACATTTTTTCGAGACGCTACTTACTTTCTCTTCACTGCATATGATCGAGGCTGATCTAGCCATGGATTTTTGAGGTGACGATTAAGACGTGAAATATTTTCGAACCATTTCCCACATTCGGAACAAGTTGGAATATCGTTAGAAGTTTGACATCTGAAACAAGGGCAAATTTTGGACCGACATTTTTAAAGGGTTAATTATTTGTATTCATAAAGGTAAATATTTTTTTCGTAACGCTTCTTACTTTCTCTTCCGGACTCTGGATGATCTACTCTCCGCAATATGTATCCATGGGTTTTTGAGGTGGCGATTAAGACGTGAAGTATTTTCGAACCATTTCCCATCTCGAAACAACTCGTTGGATTGGAAATACTGATCAAAGTTGAATAAAATTAATTAAGTAATTATTAATAAATAGGATGAGATTAAAAACAAATTACTTTTTCTTCGACGAAGCTGCTGTCTTCTTGCACGACTGGCTTTCTTCAGGATTTTCGCGTCTATCTTGCGATATATTTTCTCCACTCTGCGAGAAAGTTGGTGGATTTGACGTTTTAGGGTTGAAGAGATGTGCATCGGTATTCTGAGGAGTGGCAAGACTTAAATCGTGACCATCCAGTTCAACGGCGACGTCATTTCTAGGCGAAACTTGCCCATCCTCCTCCTCCTCCACCACGACTTCTCTCTTTTCACATTTAATGAGTGGAATTGGCACTGCTAATGGTGACACTGTGCTCCTTACAGGATGACTATTTTCGACTCCTCGTGTATGTCGGAAGTAACACGTGGTCACCTTATTTTCTCTTTTTAGATTATCTTCAACTGGTATAAATTTATATTCATCGGATACTTCTACACTTCCACATTCTATTTGGGCTTCTTCCACTTTAAATAAGTCATCATGGATGACAAAGTCGTTCATTTCGTTGGAGAGAAAATCGTCGCCCACGTCAGATCCACAATTATTATTGTTTCCTACTGAAATATATAATATGTATGTGTGTATAAATTTATAATGAGATAAATTAATCCAGAGATTAATTTGATAATATGGAGAAAGTATAGCCACTTTCTCCATATTACGAATGCAAGATTTCTGCATGTCGTTATGATATGGTGCGAAAATTCAGAGAGGAGTACAATTTTTGAAAATTAGTCAACCATCAGTTCTTTTTACTAACGTCGGAGGGCGACGTAGCGACGTAAAATTCACGATTAATTTAAACTCTGTTTCAATTCTGGCCGTTGCAGCGGGAATTGTCGTGCCCATTTACTTAACATGGCACGTGACTTTCCCGCTGCAATCACCAGAATTGAAAAAGAGTTTAACCTAATCTGTAGGGTGAAAAATAAATCGTAATTTTCTGATCACCTGAGCTCGAGCTAAGTCACTGAAGAGTAGTGATGGTTGACAAGTTTTAAAAAATTGTACTCTTCTTCTAATATTAGCATCATAATTTTTTATCAATTAAGAAAAATTGTACCATCTTCAATTTTTTCCATTCTCCTTGTTATCACAGTTAGCAAACAGATAGAAATTTCAAGAATCTTATTTCTTAACTTGACCAATTTCTGCAGCGTTGAGGAACACGTCTCACAAATTGCGACAGATTTTGCAACGTCCTGGAACAGTTTCTTCTCAGCGGAACCAAATAACACGACATTTTTCAAAATTTCCAGTTCCACTTCAGTTAAGAAATTTAACTTTTCTTCCACCTCATAACTTGCACAGATAAAACAGCACAAAATTTCCGAGCTGGCAGCACCCCCTAAATTTGGATGGGTCGAGATTTCCAACTTTTTATTGTCCTTATTAGCTGGGAAATGATAATCACACTTTTTTATAAGCACAACTGAAGAAAGTAAATCTTTTAAAAGATTTCCAGTCCCTTTCCGAGATTGGAAGTGTTCGGCCATTTCAGAAACTTAAATAGTTCTCGAGTCAATTTTTTAGTACAAAAAATATTCGAATAGAAATGATTCGTCGATCAACATAAATGCAAAACAGCTTTGTTTACATTTTCACTTGGGGGTGGTGCACATATGGCGTTGCATTTACGGGGGTTTATCCAGTAACCTATCCATGTTATATTTCCCTATTCCATAATGTAAAGGTCGAGTAGGTGGGTCATAAAATGGGTGTAAATCTGTTGATTTCATTTGTGTACGAGCCCTTGCCTCGTGGCAACCGGCGAAGAGAGAGTTATACGCACCGAAGAACATCCAACACCGCCACCACCGCGCGGTGGTGGCCGAGCTGGGCTGGACTCTTTGTCGTCATTGTGCGTTTTTCGCATGAAAATAATAACTGCCGACCAGGCAGGTTGTGCGCAGTGTTTCGGGTGCAAGTAACCACCTGCAAGAAATAACCGCAAGAAATTGGTTTCTTGCAGCTATGTTTACCCGCAAAAAATGCAAAGTGCAAGAAACTCCTTCCCGCCGCTCTAGTTCTGTAGGCGCGTCGCTAGATGACGCTGTGTTTATTGAATTTTCTTGCATTTCTTGCATTTCTTGCTATGCAGTGCAAAAAATAAAAAAAACCCAAGAAACGAAACACCGGGTATGCGCTGCCGTGTTTAAGGTTCGACTTCCTAATGGTATAACCTCCATAAACTACACGCCCCATTCCTCCAGCTAACTTTCACCCTCCCCACCCAAATTCCGGGAAAAGGGGCCGTTCATAAATTATGTAACGCAAAAATCGACTTTTTTCAAACCCCTCCCCCCCCCCTCTGTCACACTAGTGTAACGCAAGACCGCTACCCCCCCCTCCCCCTGTGTAACGTAACGCAAATCTCATTTTTCCCAGAAAAAATGAAACACCCAAAAGGAACGTGCAAAAAGTAGATGTTACGTGCTACCCCAATTTCTTTGTTGGTTAGGATTTGATTGACGTTTTTCTTTAGTTTCTGTTCTGTTTTAACTAAAAATTTAATTGAAAAATTTGCTTAATTATTTTTTTAGGAAGAAATTGTGATCTAAAATTTGATTTGATGACTTTCGTAAGTTAAGAATATATTTTTTAAAGTAATGCTCCTGTATCTTCAGTGAAGATGGAGACTAACTGTAGTGAACTTTAATTTTAAGTTCTCCTCAAGGGAACATGAAGCCTTATCTTAAGGTGGCATTGTATGCGGGTTTTAAAATGTGAATTTTTGTGTCTTAAGCTGCCCGTCTTCCATGTATTCAAATGATGATTTTGAATGATGTCAATCTACGTGAGTTTTTTTAAATGAAGATTTAATTGCACCTAAAATTCGATAATTTTTAGGTTTGCAAATTTAGGAGGTAAGAAGTTTAATTTTTCCTTCCATGAGAAAATCTTTAACTGTTGCTTCTTAATTTTTATTTACTTCATTTCTGTTTTCTCTTGGAAGAAAATGTCAATATTCTAATCTCGGACCTTGCAAATCTAAAAATTATCGACTTTTACGTGCAATTAAATCTTTACTTAAACAAAACCCACGTAGATGAACAGGTTTCAAAATCGAAATTCGAGTACATGGAAGAAGGAAACTTGAGACACAAGAATTCAACTTCAAAACACACATGCAATGGAAGGTTTAAGAGACATACAACTTCGACACTTTAATACTTCGACAACACGGAGGGCTCTAATTTTCTTAAATTTTCAAACCGCAGGGTTTATTTTTTTTATACAATTACTAATTTTAACCTATTTTACGTTGCGTGTTTGCGTGACGTAACGCAGGGCTTTGACCCCCCTCCCCCCTTGTCACATCTTGTAACGCAACTCTCATACCCCTCCCCCCCCTCCCGCGTTACATAATTTATGAACGGTCCCAAATTAAATTTAATGCAGAATTTGTTTGGTTTGTTGTTGAGCAGATCGGATGTGATCCATCGGAAAGTAAGATGGCGACACATTTTATGTAGCATCTCATCCCCATTTCGGACAAAATATTGAAGAAACTACAGTGTCAAACATAGTCATCTTTATTTATATTGCATGAATTTGAGGGTCCTTGGGTTTTTTGAAATCCAAATTGACTAATTTAAACATTGAAATGAAAACAATAACTTTGTGACTCACAACGGATACCGTGACCTGTCGTCTGAGTTCAGAATTCTCACCAATCGCAAATTGTGCACAATGTGCAACTTACGCAACAAACTCAAGCAATTTCCGTGTAAAATTCAGTTTTCGTCACGTTGTTACGATATTTGTGGCGAGGTTACGACCATGAAATGCATAGGGTTCAAGGGGGGCGGACGAGATCGAAAACACATTCGACCTTTGCAGAGAACTTCCATCTCAACCCTTTATTTTAGATTTTAAAAATGCAAACAATTTCAAATAGTTTGCGAAAAATCTGAAGTGTTTTTAATGTATGAGGTGTTCACTTTTTGAATTTGATGGAAACATGTATGTATGTACATATGTTTGTAATTTTTCTGAAATTTTACACAAATTTTTGAAATTATGGTTTAAAAAATTTAAAGGAAATTCTTAAAAATATTTAAGGATGAAATTTTGATTAAGAATGAATGTTTAAGAATGAATTTTGGAATTTTAGTATGTATGTAAAGGGTGTTGATTTAATTCGCCAACATCAATTTTTCTGCCCGCGCTCATGACAAAATTTGCTATAATTATTGATCCCTATAATATTTTTCTTCTAAATTTTTACCATAGTTGGAGGCAAGATACGTGCTAATCATAAGCATCATGACATTGGGCTACGTGTCTCAGAACCGGGAAATTCCAAATAAATAAAAATTTCGCCAAAATTTGGATGTGCCGGAACAAGTTTGTGGCAAGACGTGAACAAAAATTTTTCCAAGATAAAAAATGGCCTAAGCAACCCTTATTGGTCCCATCTACTGGGAAAACAATGAATTTGGTGAAATTTATGCGAAAACTCGAAGTTCTTGTCCAAATGGTACATAGGAGTTAAAAACCTGAAAACGGATTAAATGAAAACCGATGATAAATAATTCATTGTACCGAAAACTAACATCGAATCTGCATAATCTTGTCGCAGAACATGCTGACTAACCGAAAAAAAATCATGCGTCCACCAAATATATTGATGACCGAGCTGCATTTGCATGAAAGCTTTGAAAAAGTGGATAATTGACAACGTCATGAATTTCGTCGTCACACCCTTTGTAATAATGAATCTCAAATTGTGTTATATACAAAAGTACACTGACAAAGTGGAAGATACAGAACAGCAACAAGATCCGAATAATCATAATTGAGGGTCCTGAAATTTGCGATGGAAGTTGTGGTCGCTTGTGTGTTTTGTGCGCGACCAATATCAAGCTGTACATAGTCTAAAGCATAGAATTCAGGGCATAATCAAAGTTCATGGTGGAATGACCAATTACTGAGGTATCTCTCAAAAAAAGTTGGCCTTCGTCAGACTTTCGCTTTTGATAAACAAGCAATTTCTTTGCAGTATGAAATGTTGGCGGATTTATTCAACACCCTTTATGTATTTAATTATAACTAATATTATTTAAAATTAATTAATTTATATTAATTGAAGTAACTATTTAATTATTTTAAATCCTTGAAAATCAAGAGCTAAATTAAATTAATGTAAACTAAATTAATTTATTCATTCATAAACAATTAATGATTATCTATGTTGTAAAACATTTTTGAATACTTTAAATATGTACATAGCTCTTGTATGTATGTCTAAGGATGGCGAGTGAACAAATTTTTACGCGTGATTATGTAGCACGTGCCCACTTGAATAACGTTGTAGGCAGGATCAAATACAATTTAAACCAAAATTACTTGCTGCGGTGGGCAGTTTGCAGGTTGGAAATGTGTTCAATGGATTGCATGCAGGTTTTCTGGAGCATTTGATATGTTAAAAGGTCGTTAGCATCCGACATATTCTCCAAAATGAATTCCTCCTGAAAACATGCGACAAAATCTTCTAAGATACAAAACAGAAGCGAGCATGTGATTAGATTTAAACGGTGACAAATTACAATTTCATCATGATTCTCAGCAATTAAGCTGGGCAGCATTTCCTGCCCACCACCATGAGAAGATTAATAGTTGCCGGCAACATGCCCACAATTGCTGACCGGGAAGCAGTTACATGCTGAATGGCGAAATTCTTTACAGTCCGGATTTTCTCCTGCAACTAAATAGTGGAATAGGTTGACCATTATAAAATAAATCGGTGCATAATTTACACTCTAATAAACCCGGTAACTAATTTATTACCAGGCGGAATATCTATGTGACTCTATCGCATGGTTATTAATTTATCATTGAGTGGTAGAAAATTAGTTACCAACTGGTAATATTTTCAAATTTCGCGACCGAGGTTATTACCGGTTTGATAACAAAATGTGTACCACTCAATAATAAATAAACTACCGTGCGGTAAAGTCAAATCTATACTCCGCCTGGTAATTACTTAGTTACCAGGTTTCTTAGAGTGCATGAAATAGTTAAAAATAAAGAAATAAGTACATCCTTCTCAAGGGGACTGGAGTCATCCCGAATTGATTTTTGCTTGTCCAAAGAAACCGAGGGGCCGCCCAAAAGTTTAGTCACCGGCGAGAATACTTTCGAACCCTTATTAGCGACCGCTTTAAGGGATAGGGAGGCATCGGACACGACATCCGGATCAAGGTATACCTGATGACATTTAACTATAGAAGTCATCAGGTTCTTGCATTTCCGTGCTTGTTTCTCCACACTTTGTTCCAGTTTTGATTGAATCATTGCCATTAGGAAGGGATAATCAGACATTTTCTCGCTCGCCAAATTACAGCAGTTAAGAATCAGCAGTTTGGCATCATCAATGACAGCAGTCGTGGGTTCCACGAGCTTACCAAGCTCGACATGTACGACTTTTTAAAGCGCAGAGTTTAGATTGTACTGGAGGAAATTCACCCCAGCTGAATTCACGATGACGTATCCAATTGTTTCCTCACTAATATCGGAGATTTCAGAGCCCAATTTGTCTTTAAAGTAAGCGACCGTTTTGGCAATTTTAAACCCGGAACTGTAACCAGTAGAAGTCGGGAAACGTGTGGAGGAATTCCCCGTCAGATCGACGATGATGGCGTTTCTGATATCATCGATAAGCCTGTTTTAAATTCATTTTATTTATCATGTTTACAAATTACTTATTATTATGTAGGATTAGTAATTATTATTTTTTTAGTAATTTTAGTAT